TGGTATCATCAGAATGGCGTTGCGTCATTTCCGCCCTTCAATACTACAAGTTCCATCATGCTTTGTGTTGGTTGACGTCACTTCCGGTTTTCGCGGGCAAAATGCCGTTGCGTCACTTCCGGTTTCGTGTACTACATGTCCCATGGTGCAACTGCACCTCGATCTCAGTTCTTTGAAGTGACACCTGTTTCTTTGTAGTCCATTTTCTCCACAAGCACACTCAGGGCATATCAAAAAACAAATATATCAGTGGCATGATGACAAAACACAAGAAAGGAGAAAAGACAATAAAAAACAAATAATAACAATATACATACAGCAAAAAATATCTCCATATGACAATCAATATTATTTTGCAATGTATAAAAAAGGGCCTTTATATTACTCTGGTATTGAAAATGCATATTTTGGAATTCTAATATAGTTTTATAAATAATTAGTAACTTTTTCTTATTATGGTTATTTAAAAAACTTTCAAATGTATAAATCTCTAGTCTAGTGTATCCCATGGGTCCAGCAACAGTAATGTTAAAAGTACATTGAGACTGTGAAAAAAAAATATATATATATATATAATATATAATATGTATTATCTTATAATTGAAAAACAATTTAAAAAATAAAAATAAATATGGACTAAACATCCTAAAAAATAACTATAAAAAAATGGCAAAGTTCAAAATCTGCATTCAAGCCCAGGGGGGTTAAAGTGTTTAAATTGAAAATCCATTTCGTTTCTAATTGACCCAACTTCCTTATTTCGTCCTCCCCTCGCCAATTTAAGGTGACTTTTTGAATAGCATAAAAATCTAAAAACTGTGGATCCTTATCATGTAGTAATCTGAAATGATCTGAAACACTGTGTTTGTCGTAGCCCTTCTTAATGTTCCGTATGTGTTCATTTATTCTCACATTCAATGGGCGTTTCGTTCTGCCCACATATAGAAGATCACAAGGGCATTTTAAAACGTATATCACTCTTTTTAGAAAAACAGGTGATCATTTCCCTTATTTTATGTTCTTTTTCTTTCGTTGAATCATGAAACTCCCTAATGTGCCTTTTTGTGCTTTTTGTACTCCTACAGGCTAAACACTGTCCACAGCCGAAAAAACCTTTATTCTGAAAAAAAGGTGTAATTGGTTTTTCTTTTATATGATTATGTACCAACTTTTGTTTCAAATTTGAAGCTCCCCTATATACAAATCTTGGTCTCTCTGGTAATATAGAGTGTAACATGGGATCATTTCTTAGCATGGGCCAATGTTTATTTACTATCTTTTTTATTCTGTGGCTTTCCTGATTAAAATTGGAGATAAAGGGCAAAACATTGTGTTCATTTTTCACCTTAGATTTATATTTCAAGAGGGAAGATCTTTCCATATTTTCTACTTCTTTTATAGTGTTTATCAGCAGATCTTCCTCATATCCCTTTTCAACAAATTGGTTCTTAACTCTAATGGCTTGAGTTTCAAAAGTGCTTGTGTCAGTGCAATTTCTACGGATTCTCATTAATTGTGCTTTTGGGATGTTCCTTAACCAAGGGGAGAAGTGACAGCTATTTAAAAAGATATAGTTGTTTACATCTACAGGTTTAAAAAAAGTTTTTGTTTTAATGTGATCGTCTTCTATAAAGATTGTTAGATCTAAAAAATTCACACTCTTGGTGTTGTATTCCGTAGTTAATTTAACTCCCCAGTCATTAGTATCTAAAAAAGTTAAAGTCTTTAAAAGGGCTTCTGAGCCATTCCAAATAAAAAATATATCATCTATGTACCGCTTATAGGTGACCAGGTTCGCTTTCCAATCCATGTTGTTAATATATTTCTCTTCCCAAAATGCCATGAATAAATTGGCATAGCTTGGTGCGAACCTGGTCCCCATAGCGCTACCTACTTTTTGTAGAAAAAACTCATTGTTGAACCAAAAATAATTGTTTTTTAAAATGAGATCTATTCCCTCTATAATAAAATTAATTTGTTCCTCTGGATATGCATTATCTTTATTCAGAAAAAAATTTACTGCCTCTATGCCTTTAATATGTGAAATAATCGTATATAGGGAACTCACGTCCGCAGTTACCAGAATATATTGTTGTTCCCACTGTATGTCTTGTAGTATCTGAATGATATTTAAAGTGTCCTTAAGATAATTGGGAGTTTTTTGGACCACCGGTTGTAGGCATTTGTCCAGGTATTCCGATAGTCTGCTGGATACAGAATCAATACCCGAGACTATCGGTCTACCTGGGCATTGGTAAGGTACTTATGAATCTTAGGGAGATGATAGAATACAGGAATCTTTGGTTTGTCAATATTGAGATATTTGTATTCTCTGTCATTTAATACTTCAATTTCCTTCCCTTTTTGTAACAAATTTTCAAATTTCTTTTTAATATTGGTGGTTGGATCACTAAATAATTTTTGATATGTTATTTCATCACCTACCAGCCTAAGGCCTTCTAGCACATAATCTTTTGTGTTCATAACCACAATACCACCACCCTTGTCTGCCGGTTTTATAACCTTATTTTTATGCTATTCAAAAAGTCACCTTAAATTGGCGAGGGGAGGATGAAATAAGAAAGTTGGGTCAATTAGAAACGAAATGGATTTTCAATTTAAACACTTTAACCCCCCTGGGCTTGAATGCAGATTTTGAACTTTGCCATTTTTTTATAGTTATTTTTTAGGATGTTTAGTCCATATTTATTTTTATTTTTTAAATTGTTTTTCAATTATAAGATAATACATATTATATATTATATATATATATATATTTTTTTTTCACAGTCTCAATGTACTTTTAACATTACTGTTGCTGGACCCATGGGATACACTAGACTAGAGATTTATACATTTGAAAGTTTTTTAAATAACCATAATAAGAAAAAGTTACTAATTATTTATAAAACTATATTAGAATTCCAAAATATGCATTTTCAATACCAGAGTAATATAAAGGCCCTTTTTTATACATTGCAAAATAATATTGATTGTCATATGGAGATATTTTTTGCTGTATGTATATTGTTATTATTTGTTTTTTATTGTCTTTTCTCCTTTCTTGTGTTTTGTCATCATGCCACTGATATATTTGTTTTTTGATATGCCCTGAGTGTGCTTGTGGAGAAAATGGACTACAAAGAAACAGGTGTCACTTCAAAGAACTGAGATCGAGGTGCAGTTGCACCATGGGACATGTAGTACACGAAACCGGAAGTGACGCAACGGCATTTTGCCCGCGAAAACCGGAAGTGACGTCAACCAACACAAAGCATGATGGAACTTGTAGTATTGAAGGGCGGAAATGACGCAACGCCATTCTGATGATACCAGACGTAATTAACACGAACTAGGAGAGGAAATTTCTGGCGGGAATTTTGAACATTTAAAAGGGGACTCAACCCATGATACCATCAGGAGCTGACTGAGGAAGCCGTTTTTTCGGTGAAACGCGTTTTGGCTAACTAGGTGGACCTGTTAGCAGACCACTCAATACATTTGTATTACATTTATTTGTTTTTATTATTTTCTAGAAGTATGTATACATTTTTAATAGTTTCTTAAATAAATATATATTTTTTATCCACCATTGAATTACACTCTGCGCAAGTGATTCCAGGAAGGGGTAGTGTCATCCCCATTAATTGACACTAGGCTAAAAATACTTAGAGCCAGTTACCACAGGCTCTAAAGAAGGTGAGCAATTCTGTATTTTATTTACATTGATTTATATCGGTATCTAAAATACTACATTTAGATTGGGGATATCTGTGTCTTTTTTCTATGCAACGTGGAGAGGAAGTTACTCTCTTTTTCACCTTGAGAGACGGGTCGTGTGATCTACCCTAAAAAGACACAGACACCTGGAAGTTTAGAGCCTTATAACTGTAAAAGGCTCTAAAAAATGTGAGTTTATTTCAATTCATCATTCACAACTAAAGGACTTTATTAGATATTTATTTAACATACTACACTATTATCTGTACTTTCTCTATGTTCTCTTTTTTTGGTATATCACTAAGAAAACTAAAGCACAATATATAGGGTAAGTGCGTGTTTTAGCACTGTCCTTTCACTGAAAATTTCACTATATATTTAGCGCTACACTCATGATAAACTGAAGATCTGGGTGATACAAATATTCACCTAAATCCAAAGTTTTCTCTGTTCTTTTTGGATATTATATATAATTTATAATGGGAGTATAATATATATAATTTATAATGGTGGGTATAATATATATCATTTATAATGGGGGTATAATATGTACCATTTATGAGGGGGTATAATATATATCATTTATAATGGGGAGATAATATATATAATTTATAATGGGGGTAAAATATATATAATTTATAATGGGCAGTATAATGAATATAATTCATAATGGGCGGTATAATATATATCATTTTATAATGGGGTATAATATAAATAAATTATAATGGGGGATAATATAATTAATAATAAAGGGGGATATTATATATAATTTATAATGGGGGTATAATATGTATCCTTTATAATGGGGGCATAATATAAATAATTTATAAAGGGGGTATAATATATATAATAATTTATAATGGGGTATAATATAATAATGGTATAATATATGTAATAATTTATAAAGGGGGTATAATAGATACAAAATATTATAGTTGGTAGTATAATATATCATTTATGATGGGGTTATAGTATATATAATTTATAATGGGAGTATAACATATATAATTTATAATGGTGTAACCACGGCTGGTTCCCTTATTTACCACTATAATGTCTTAAAGCATAGAACTTAGTAGGGCTAACCATACAGATATCTTAGCCATAATTTTATATAGTTAGTAAGAGATCCTCTATTTAACATATATAAATAATTGAGAATACAATCTAAAATAAGGATTGTCTTGGAAGCAATAAAGTTTTGTCTTTTTAGATATTTATTATATAAAAATATAAATATAAAATCCATTATAGCAGAGTTTATAAGATTAAATTACATGCTTGCAAATATCATTAATAGGTTAACATACCCTTCTGAACATGTCATCATGTCAGCCTCTCTGTCATTTTAAGATGGAGCAGCGTCTGTCTCCAAGTCTCTCCTCTGTGTCTTAACATTTAAAAGTACACCTATTTATACCTTAGGTGTCTCCATTTTAGGGTTACCGTAGTTCATATATGAAAAAGTAACACTTCTTTTACTTTATTCAATTTAGGACCTCCCTTAATTTGGCAAACATACAAGGCCATAACTAAAGGGTGTATACGTCATGGAAATTTTCCTGACTTAGTTCAAGATGGCATCTTAAAGTCTGAATAGCTTATCTGTCGTGGGAGATTCCCGGATTTGGGGAAGTTCCATTAACTTGGGGTTACCACAGTATATTGTGTACTGAAAGTGTCGTAGTATAGCCTTGAAGCTTGTTTATACATTATTGTTATTGTAATTCGTCTGGGACAAAATGGCGCAAACATATTATGCACTGAAGGTAGGTAAGAAGTTATTGCTTAACCCCTTAAACACATGACATGTGTGACATGTCATGATTCCCTTTTATTCCAGAAGTTTGGTCCTTACGGGGTTAAATAAACCCTCATGAAAAACAATATGTTCCATTTCTAACACCTTGTCAGTTTGCAATATCTCTTAAAGACAAAGTACACAGTTTGAGGAATACAATATTTGCATTTGCCTGTAACAATGGGAATATAATATATATCATTTATAATGGGGGTATAATATATACAATAATTTATAATGGCGGTATAATATACATCATTTATAATGGGGGATATTATATATATAATGTATAATGGAGATATAATATAATTTATAATGAGGTATAATAATTTATAAAGGGGATATATTATTATAAAAGCATGGAGTGTCCCTTTAATTAGCTTTACTCAGACACATGCACCATAACATGTTCTCTCTCACATACCTGTTTAACACACATGCACCGTAACATGTTCTCTCTCACATACCTGTTTAACACACGCACCGTAACATGTTCTCTCTCGCATACCTGTTTAACACACGCACCGTAACATGTTCTCTCTCGCATACCTGTTTAACACACACGCACCGTAACATGTTCTCTCTCGCATACCTGTTTAACTCACACGCACCGTAACATGTTCTCTCTCGCATACCTGTTTATACGCTGCCGTAGCTTTCTCTCGCCTGGTAGTGGTATTTAGCTTACTGCACGCTACCGTAATATGTTCTCTCATACCTGTTTAACACACCTGCGCGCAGCGCATGTTCTCTCTCATACCTGTTTAACACACACGCACCGTAACATGTTCTCTCTCGCCTACCTGTTTAACACACACGCACCGTAACATGTTCTCTCTCGCCTACCTGTTTAACACACACGCACCGTAACATGTTCTCTCTCGCATACCTGTTTAACACACACGCACCGTAACATGTTCTCTCTCGCATACCTGTTTAACACACACGCACCGTAACATGTTCTCTCTCGCATACCTGTTTAACACACACGCACCGTAACATGTTCTCTCTCGCATACCTGTTTAACACACACGCACCGTAACATGTTCTCTCTCGCATACCTGTTTAACTCACACGCACCGTAACATGTTCGCATACCTGTTTTAACACACCAGCGCATTAACATGTTCTCTCGCGCCACCTGTTTAACACACACGCTGCCGTAACATGTTCTGCTCTCTCGCGTACCTGTTTAGCACACCGCACCGTATTAACATGTTCTCTCTCGCATACCTGTTTAACACACACGCACCGTAACATGTTCTCTCTCGCATACCTGTTTAACACACACGCACCGTAACATGTTCTCTCTCGCATACCTGTTTAACACACACGCACCGTAACATGTTCTCTCTCGCATACCTGTTTAACACACACGCACCGTAACATGTTCTCTCTCGCATACCTGTTTAACACACACGCACCGTAACATGTTCTCTCTCGCATACCTGTTTAACACACACGCACCGTAACATGTTCTCTCTCGCATACCTGTTTAACACACACGCACCGTAACATGTTCTCTCTCGCATACCTGTTTAACACACACGCACCGTAACATGTTCTCTCTCGCATACCTGTTTAACACACACGCACCGTAACATGTTCTCTCTCGCATACCTGTTTAACACACACGCACCGTAACATGTTCTCTCTCGCATACCTGTTTAACACACACGCACCGTAACATGTTCTCTCTCGCATACCTGTTTAACACACACGCACCGTAACATGTTCTCTCTCGCATACCTGTTTAACACACACGCACCGTAACATGTTCTCTCTCGCATACCTGTTTAACACACACGCACCGTAACATGTTCTCTCTCGCATACCTGTTTAACACACACGCACCGTAACATGTTCTCTCTCGCATACCTGTTTAACACACACGCACCGTAACATGTTCTCTCTCGCATACCTGTTTAACACACACGCACCGTAACATGTTCTCTCTCGCATACCTGTTTAACACACACGCACCGTAACATGTTCTCTCTCGCATACCTGTTTAACACACACGCACCGTAACATGTTCTCTCTCACATACCTGTTTAACACACATGCCATATTGACAATACTTTCTCACACAGCATGTAAGTAGTCATTCACTCACACACATTCATCTACTTACATGGTTTTTCCCAATTCAGATAGAGGAACACGATGACTGCTTGCTTTCTCCCCTAGTCTGGGGTCTATTTTAAAAATCTGCACATTAACACATGCCAGAAGACAAGCCATTAATAGTGTCATTTATTTAGTTGTTAAGTCTCTTATTAACCAGAAACAGCAGTGATTTAAATTTAGTTCGGTTGGATAATATGTGTGGGGCATTGTTTTTCTCAATTCCGTTTTGTTCTAAACTTTTAAATATTTAAAGGGACGCTATAGTTAACAGAACAATGACAGCCTAATGTAGTGGTTCTGGTGTGTATAGTATGTAAATGCAGGCCTTTTAATGTAAACACTGATTTTCAGAGAAAAGTTGTAATTTTACATTGTTTTAATTGAAGCAGGCTATATATTTTGCATTTACAGAATTGATGTGGTCACTTTCATCAACCTCTTCAACCAGGACCTGAGCCCATTCTCAGAGCATTGGAGGAAATCGTGATAATGGACAAAGATAGGAACTGGGTGGGTGAGAAGATCTTGGATCTAACACTCGAGATCATCTACCTGCTGACTGGAGAGGTGAGGGATTCTGGGTAATGTCATTATGGAGATCATCTACCTGCTGACTGGAGAGGTGAGGGATTCTGGGTGATGTCACCATGGAGATCATCTACCTGCTGACTGGAGAGGTGAGGGGTTCTGGGTAATGTCAGTATGGAGATCATCTACCTGCTGACTGGAGAGGTGAGGGATTCTGGGTAATGTCACCATGGAGATCATCTACCTGCTGGCTGGAGAGGTGAGGGATTCTGGGTAATGTCAGTCTGGAGATCATCTACCTGCTGGCTGGAGAGGTGAGGGATTCTGGGTAATGTCATTATGGAGATCATCTACCTGCTGGCTGGAGAGGTGAGGGATTCTGGGTAATGTCAGTATGGAGATCATCTACCTGCTGACTGGAGAGGTGAGGGATTCTGGGTGATGTCACCATGGAGATCATCTACCTGCTGACTGGAGAGGTGAGGGATTCTGGGTAATGTCATTATGGAGATCATCTACCTGCTGACTGGAGGGGTGAGGGATTCTGGGTAATGTCAGTATGGAGATCATCTACCTGCTGACTGGAGAGGTGAGGGATTCTGGGTAATGTCAGTATGGAGATCATCTACCTGCTGACTGGAGAGGTGAGGGATTCTGGGTAATGTCAGCATGGAGATCATCTACCTGCTGACTGGAGAGGTGAGGGATTCTGGGTAATGTCATTATGGAGATCATCTACCTGCTGACTGGAGAGGTGAGGGATTCTGGGTAATGTCATTATGGAGATCATCTACCTGCTGATTGGAGGGGTGAGGGATTCTGGGTAATGTAAGTAGGGAGATCATCTACCTGCTGATTGGAGAGGTGAGGGATTCTGGGTAATGTTACCATAGAGATCATCTGCCTGTTGACTGGAGAGGTGAGGGATTCTGGGTAATGTCACCATGGAGATCATCTACCTGCTGACTGGAGAGGTGAGGGATTCTGGGTAATGTCATTATGGAGATCATCTACCTGCTGACTGGAGAGGTGAGGGATTCTGGGTAATGTCAGTATGGAGATCATCTACCTGCTGACTGGAGAGGTGAGGGATTCTGGGTAATGTCAGTATGGAGATTGTCTACCTGCTGACTGGAGAGGTGAGGGATTCTGGGTAATGTCACCATGGAGATCATCTACCTGCTGACTGGAGAGGTGAGGGATTCTGGGTAATGTCATTATGTAGATCATCTACCTGCTGACTGGAGAGGTGAGGGATTCTGGGTAATGTCATTATGGAGATCATCTACCTGCTGACTGGAGAGGTGAGGGATTCTGGGTAATGTCAGTACGGAGACCATCTACCTGCTGACTGGAGAGGTGAGGGATTCTGGGTAATGTCATTATGGAGATCAGCTACCTGCTGACTGGAGAGGTGAGGGATTCTGGGTAATGCCAGTATGGAGATCATCTACCTGCTGACTGGAGAGGTGAGGGATTCTGGGTAATGTCACCATGGAGATCATCTACCTGCTGACTGGAGAGGTGAGGGATTCTGGGTAATGTCAGTATGGAGATCATCTACCTGCTGGCTGGAGAGGTGAGGGATTCTGGGTAATGTCACTATGGAGATCATCTACCTGCTGACTGGAGAGGTGAGGGATTCTGGGTAATGTCATTATGGAGATCATCTACCTGCTGACTGGAGAGGTGAGGGATTCTGGGTAATGTCAGTATGGAGATCATCTACCTGCTGACTGGAGAGGTGAGGGATTCTGGGTAATGTCATTATGGAGATCATTTACCTGCTGACTGGAGAGGTGAGGGATTCTGGGTAATGTCATTATGGAGATCATCTACCTGCTGGCTGGAGAGGTGAGGGATTCTGGGTAATGAAATTATGGAGATCATCTACCTGCTGACTGGAGAGGTGAGGGATTCTGGGTAATGTCATTATGGAGATCATCTACCTGCTGACTGGAGAGGTGAGGATTCTGGGTAATGTCAATGCAGGAACCATCTACCTGCTGCTGACTGGAGAGGTGAGGGATTCTGGGTAATGTCAGTATGGAGATCATCTACCTGCTGGCTGGAGAGGTGAGGGATTCTGGGTTATGTCATTATGGAGATCATCTTCCTGCTGACTGGAGAGGTGAGGGATTCTGGGTAATGTCATTATGGAGATCATCTACCTGCTGGCTGGAGAGGTGAGGGATTCTGGGTAATGTCATTATGGAGATCAGCTACCTGCTGACTGGAGAGGTGAGGGATTCTGGGTAATGTCATTATGGAGATCATCTACCTGCTGACTGGAGAGGTGAGGGATTCTGGGTAATGTCATTATGGAGATCATCTACCTGCTGACTGGAGAGGTGAGGGATTCTGGGTAATGTCATTATGGAGACCATCTACCTGCTGACTGGAGAGGTGAGGGATTCTGGGTAATGTCATTATGGAGATCATCTACCTGCTGACTGGAGAGGTGAATTATGGAATTCCTGGAGTAATGTCATTATGGAGATCATCTACCTGCTGGCTGTTCATCTACCTGCTGACTGGAGAGGTGAGGGATTCTGGGTAATGTCACCATGGAGATCATCTACCTGCTGACTGGAGAGGTGAGGGATTCTGGGTAATGTCACCATGGAGATCATCTACCTGCTGACTGGAGAGGTGAGGGATTCTGGGTAATGTCACCATGGAGATCATCTACCTGCTGACTGGAGAGGTGAGGGATTCTGGGTAATGTCATTATGTAGATCATCTACCTGCTGACTGGAGAGGTGAGGGATTCTGGGTAATGTCATTATGGAGATCATCTACTTGCTGACTGGAGAGGTGAGGGATTCTGGGTAATGTCATTATGGAGATCAGCTACCTGCTGACTGGAGAGGTGAGGGATTCTGGGTAATGCCAGTATGGAGATCATCTACCTGCTGACTGGAGAGGTGAGGGATTCTGGGTAATGTCACCATGGAGATCATCTACCTGCTGACTGGAGAGGTGAGGGATTATGGGTAATGTCAGTATGGAGATCATCTACCTGCTGACTGGAGAGGTGAGGGATTCTGGGTAATGTCACTATGGAGATCATCTACCTGCTGACTGGAGAGGTGAGGGATTCTGGGTAATGTCATTATGGAGATCATCTACCTGCTGGCTGGAGAGGTGAGGGATTCTGGGTAATGTCACTATGGAGATCATCTACCTGCTGACTGGAGAGGTGAGGGATTCTGGGTAATGTCATATGGAGATCATCTACCTGCTGACTGGAGAGGTGAGGGATTCTGGGTAATGTCATTATGGAGATCATCTACCTGCTGACTGGAGAGGTGAGGGATTCTGGGTAATGTCATTATGGAGATCATCTACCTGCTGACTGGAGAGGTGAGGGATTCTGGGTAATGTCATTATGGAGATCATCTACCTGCTGACTGGAGAGGTGAGGGATTCTGGGTAATGTCATTATGGAGATCATCTACCTGCTGACTGGAGAGGTGAGGGATTCTGGGTAATGTCATTATGGAGATCATCTACCTGCTGACTGGAGAGGTGAGGGATTCTGGGTAATGTCATCTACCTGCTGACTGGAGAGGTGAGGGATTCTGGGTAATGTCATTGCTGACTGGAGAGGTGAGGGATTCTGGGTAATGTCATTATGGAGATCATCTACCTGCTGGCTGGAGAGGTGAGGGATTCTGGGTAATGTCATTATGGAGATCAGCTACCTGCTGACTGGAGAGGTGAGGGATTCTGGGTAATGAAATTATGGAGATCATCTACCTGCTGACTGGAGAGGTGAGGGATTCTGGGTAATGTCATTATGGAGATCATCTACCTGCTGACTGGAGAGGTGAGGGATTCTGGGTAATGTCAGTACGGAGACCATCTACCTGCTGACTGGAGAGGTGAGGGATTCTGGGTAATGTCATTATGGAGATCAGCTACCCGCTGACTGGAGAGGTGAGGGATTCTGGGTAATGTCACCATGGAGATCATCTACCTGCTGACCGGAGAGGTGAGGGATTCTGGGTAATGTCATTATGGAGATCATCTACCTGCTGACTGGAGAGCTGAGGGGTTTTGTTTAATGCTGGCTTGTTAAATTGCCACTTCCCCTCCATAACAACTGAATTAAATCTTTTGGGGGCTGGAGTCTGTGGGCGCCGCTGTGACCTATGTGGTTAAAGTGTTTTTAAACAGTTGAACCAAAAGTGCCAGCCGCACTACCTGGCTGGTTTGTAGATCGGAATTCTTCCTAACAAAACAACATTATATGTATTTTTTCTTTTACTTTAAGATAGTGCATATTACTTTCTTAATTTATTTCAAGAAAAAAATACTACATGTAATTAATCACAAGAAAGCTTTGAAATCAATAATAACAAACCTGTTTTTGTCCATTCATGTAGAAACTGCCCAACTCTTACAACATAATATTAAAATCAGCAGCTAATAAATGGGTGTAATAGAATTAGTTACATTTACTGCTTAATTCAGGGATTGTCAAGCACCATAACCCTTACAGGCATTTGTAGTGGTTATGGTGCCAGGAGTGCCCTTGTATCCTGCTAGAGTAATGTGTCCAACGGTTTTAGAATGTTTCAGAAACGTACCGAGGTCCCTCTGGCCATGCTCAGGGGAAACCATCACATGGTCTCTAAATCAACACTATCTTAAAAAATATTGTTCCATTTCTGTTTTTAAATATGTGTAGATTGAATTTTGGATGAAATCACTTGCCTGCCTTTTGCAGTTCACCTTTTTGAAAAGCAATCTTTTATAGTATATTGCTGCCACCCATGGCGTTTCTAAATTGCGTTCTCGTCCTGCCTGCAGCAGTTTGTGTCCGCCGCTTTTAATAAATTCAACGGATAGTTGCAAAATGGTGGACATTGGTGCAGATAACTGGCAATCCAACTGATAAAGACAAGTGTCAGAAAGGGGGAGTGGCAAAGATAGAATTCTTCAAACATTTCTTTATTCAATATATACATGAATTTAAAAACAAATAATAAAATGGAATATTATAACTTAACAATATATTAAGGAATTACATTTTCCATTTATTTAAGATGAACACTATAATAACATGTGTGACAGAACCATCTGTCTTTGGGATTATATTTCGCCTTCCTCCATTCGTCTGTTTGTTCGGTTATTTCTTTGCCGGGAGGATGGCGTGTGCAGTCAATTGAGCACCCAGTATCTGCGGTTAACCGCAGCCTAATTGACGATTGCTGGGTGGTTGCAGTTACACATAGCCACCACACGATGACGGTGTTATGGAAGCTCCCCGGGTAGTCAGCCCTTGTTCTACCCAGCAGCAGGACACCAAAAGCAGACACCTTGTCTTCCAAGCCCCGCTGAGCCTACTAGTCTGCAGCCCTGTTCGGCAACCGAACAGCGGAGCATTTGGGTCTTTGAGTGTTATAATGTATTCGGTGTGAAAGTACCCAGATAGCCTGCCATGGAGCCTGTTCGTGGAATTAAAGACTTTGGCTCCATGGCGATTAAACTGTGTTTGTGTGGTGTGAGCGCCATTCACTTAATAATGTGCGCTCAGACCTGAGCTATCTGGGGATATGTTAAATGTATATATTTATTGTAACCCTTGTAACATGGTGTATTTTAATAGTAATTCCTATTCTAGTATCCCCACGTGCATAATGGCGATTTGCCTTTGTCCTGGGAGATAATTGAATTACTTCTCAATTAACTCCAGGGCAGAGGGGAGGAAGCTAGGTTGCATTGTGGGAATATATTGTGACTGTATGTCCCAAATTGATACCTGTCTGTCCTTGGTTAAAGTCTCCCATTTGGTTTCCCTAGGGGAGTGTCCACCAAGTGGGAGACCTGCATAAATACGGGCAGGTAGCCCTCAGTAAAGCCAGTTCTTGTTTTACCCTCAATACGGAGCTTGGTCTCGTCATTGGGGGGATTTACTATATGCGGTTAGAGACTGATTGCTGGGAACGTAAGCTGCTTGGAGATTATAGCAGTTCGGCTGTTAGCAGTGATTCGTGGGCTTACTGTTCGGGAGTTTGGAAGAGTTTCACGTATACGGTTCGGGAGTTTGGCGCATTCCCCTGGTTCCCGTTCGGGAGTTTGAGGTCTACACGAATTAAATCTGCATCGCTAAAAAGGGGAAGCTCAACTAAGCGGCGGTTTCACTCCTTCATGCCGGGAGTGTCTTAACAACATGTATCCCTAACACTATAGTGCTGGACTATCTATCTAGGTCCCCTCCCCCCTCTCAGAATGGAATATAAAGGCATTGTACTTACCTTTTCTTCATCACTGCACTGGTCTCGCAGCGACTGGCTGTGCCTCCATGGCTGAGATCATCAGTCTTTATGATCTCAGTTACTCCATTTTTAAATAGGTGAAACCTGGAGCCACCTAGTTGGATTTCCGATATTTCACTGTATTTATATTCCCTATTTTGAAGCCACGGACTGAAATTACATCTTGATTATACTGTGTCATGTGAACTAATTTAAAGGGTTTTGAAGTGGTCATTGTGCAAGGAATGTTACAGTTTAAATTGCTGTCCACGGTGTAACTCCACCTCCAGCAGCCATCATTATCCAGCTGGCTGATGCTAATTCTGTGCATATTCTCTATACACTGGTTCATTCATTGGCTGAGAGTGCTCAGCTAACTTTCTCAGCCGATCAATGTTCAGCAGGTTTGGCATTCAGCATGAGAGTAGACTCAATGCATAGAAACATAGAATGTGAAGGCAGATAAGAACCATCTAGTCTGCCCAATTTTCTAAATACTTTCATTAGTCCCTAGCCTTATCTTATAGTTAGGATAGCCTTATGCCTATCCCACGCGTGCTTAAACTCCTTTACTATGTTAATGCCCGGCGGGACCCAAGTGAAAGGCAAACTATTCCAATGTAGAGTATTTCATAAATTTTTCATCTTTATGAAACACTCAGAAGTGATAGAGCTGCTTTAATGAAAGCGTAGATATTACAATGTTTCCATTGCAGAGAGATAAACATCTAGCATCTGTTTTTCTGATAGCCACTAAAGGTGCTATCACTGTGAGTACGGGTCAGGCTCCGTTCTCAAATGTCTCATAGAAAGCATTCAATTGGAGGTGCACACGTGGCTTTATCATTCCCAATGCTCCTGTATGAGCAACGTTGGATTTGACGGGAAGAAGAACGAGTGATGCCTGTGGAATTACCTCTTTGGAGAAGGAGCCTCTGCGCTGGGAAAAGAGTTTTATTGTTTTTTTAACTTGATTGGGGGGCTGAGGAAACACTATAGTGTTGGGAATACATGTTTGCATTCCTAAAACTATAGTCTTTAATACTAAAAGTCCACTTATTCCTGGCTGTACTTAATTATTATTTTATTTATATCATTTGTGGTTAAATATTCTTAAAAATCACCGTTCTTGTTTTAAATATTCTTGTTAGTATAACAGTCTTTCTTAATTTTAAGGCTCATGTTGTTGTGAAGAAATCTGATGACAATGTGTCACCTAGCAGCAACCCTTATGTGTCAAAAGGATCCTCCAGGACCCAGTACACCAGCATGGTGCCTACACCTCCCTCCTTGATATATGAGAGAAACAATGATCAGAAGATGCTGGAATTGACCAATCAGATCATCAAGCTGCTGACTGGAGAGGTGAGGTGCCAAGTATGCGACATTATACTGTAAAACAAAGGGATGTGTCTGGATCATTATGTGTGTCAGGTTCCTATAAGGAGTGAGGATGTCACTGTCTATTTGTCCATGCAGGAGTGGGAGTATTTAGAAGGGTGCAGGGATCTCTACAAAGGTTTGAAGATGGAGAATCGAAGGCCCCTCTGCTCACTTGGTAAGGAAATAGTTAACTACTGTAATTTGTGTTTAATAACCCAGAAAATTCACCAAAGTACATAGACTTAGATTTTTGATGTTCCTGTTCTTAAAGTGATATAAGAGCTGCTAATGTGTGTTTTCTTCCAACAGATAAATTTGCATGTAGTGGATTATACACTTCTGATTCTTTGAATAATTCCAGAACAAAGGATGACACTATAAATAAAACTAATGATGGAGTAAAATGTCTGAAAATCAAAAAACCAAGAAACAAAAAGTCTACATCTGTAACATATATTTCACAAGACTATCCATCACGTGAAGATAGAGTTAACATAGACACAGAGGTTTCTACACCCATAGAACAACCACAGACAGAATATCCATTTTCTCCTATTTCGGAGGAACCAGCGTCATGTAAAGATGGAAATCTCACAGACATTTCTACGCCCACAGAGCATTCATCTACTCCTATTAAAGAGGAATCTGGATCATGTGAAGAAGGAAATCTCACAGACACTGACATCTATACAGAGACAGAAGATATAAGTACTGTTATTATTAAGGTTGAATCACTCTCCTCTGACGAAGGGGATCTCATGTACATGAATGAGTATACACACACAGACCGTACTCAGACAGAAGATATATGTAATGTCATTATAAAGGAGGAATCCATGTCATGTGAAGACGATCTCACAGACAATGAAATGTATACACCCACAGAACAAACACACAGAGAATATCCATCTAATCAAATTAAGAAGGAACAAACCATATGCAGAGGAGGAAATGCTAATAGATATACTCTTACTAAACACACACAGACAGAAAATACATTTGGCTGTATGGGAGGCTATATCAATTCTTCCAAAGGAGGAAAATTTTTCTTTTCTGAGTCCGAACTTCTTATACATGAGATGAATTGCAGAAGAGAAAAACCATTTTCATGCTCTGAATGTGGGAAACATTTTAGTCAGGTATCCAATCTTGTTAAACACCAGAGAATTCACACAGGGGAGAAACCATATAAATGCAATGAATGTGGTAAATGTTTTACAATGGCTGCAAAGCTTGCATCACATGAGAGGATTCACAGGGGAGAGAAACCATTTAAATGCACTGAGTGTGATAAATGTTACAACTTAAAACATGATCTTATTAGGCATCAGAGGATTCACACAGGTGATAAACCATTTAAATGCGATGAATGCGGGAAATGTTACACTAGATCCGAACAGCTTGTTTCACATAAACGGATTCACACAGGAGATAAACCATTTAAATGCACTGAATGTGACAAATGTTTTAACCTAAAGTGTAATCTTATCAGGCATCAGAAGATTCACACAGGAGAAAGGCCATTTAAATGCAACGAATGTGATAAATGTTATAAGAGAGCGGCAGACCTTGTTTCCCATAAATGGATTCACACAGGAGAAAAACCATTTAAATGCAATGAGTGTGGGAAATCGTATATCTGGGCCACAGACCTTGCATCACATAAAAAGGTTCACACAGGAGAAATTCCATTCTCATGCACTTAATACTGAGATGTTTTATAGATATCTGTTCTTTAAGCCGTTTGTGTGCAACATGAAGGCAGACAATACACTTTTAACAGATTTTCGTTGCAAAGAAAAAAAGATTCATCCTAAAAACGAGCTACTATAAAAGTGAAACTATAATACATTGCATAATGGGAATGAATTACTTAGCACCTAACTGTGCCTCTCGGCTCTCCTCTAGTTCATGGCTTGCAATATGAACTCTTTAATTCGTTCTCCCCAATATACAATCAGGGTTATATACTAAAATGGCAATTGTTGGGAATTCAAAATTAATTTCAGATTTGATTCCAAAATAGCTGAATTGGAAAAAAGAACCTCCAGCTATGCTTCCAGTTGAGCTATTTTGGTCTAAAACTTTAAAATCACTTAGAATTTTTGACAATTCTAACTTTGGCGAGTAACTCTGTATGTGTATCCTGCACTGAATGTTTAACATTTTGGGGAAAAGTTGCTTAAAATCAATTTTCCGATTTCACCCAAATAACAAACAAATTGATCTGAAAAGTATAAATTTGCTCACAGTATGGGTTCATATGGTGGGATGAATGAATTGTGTATGCCTATGGATTTCCTTTTTAAAGAAGCTTTCAAATAGTGCATGAGGCTGACATTTGTCAGAATTCTGTCATTCATATTTACATTGGTCCAAATTATTCTGATTTACATTGTTTTATTTATATGTGCTTGGATTTGAAAATAATGGATGTAAATCTTTGTCTTAATTTTCTTACTAAACCCCCATTCTTCCTTCTCTAATTTGCCAATTTATGATTGGATTGGTTAAGATGCTTGCAAATTTTTGTATGTTCTTGCCCATTTGTACTTACTGTGAAGTGGTGCAATAAAAATATTCTTAAAAAAAACAAAAACTCACTTCTGTATAATTCTACACGATCCCAATGACAGAGTTTAGGTCGCTAAATAGGGCAATTCCACCTAAGGATTTTTAATTTAATCAGCCATGGATGTCGTTACAATGAGCAGTGAATCTGACTGACTGTAAAACTTGTATTTAATAAAACAATACTTTCAAAACAGCTCACATACTCACAATACTTAAAGGACCACTATAGTGCCCTGAGGGTGCCCCCACCCTCAGGGTCCCCCTCCCGCCCGGCTCTGGAAGGGGGAAAGGGGTTAAAACTTACCTTTTTCCAGCGCTGGGTGGAGAGCTCTCCTCCTCCGATCCTCCTCTTCTCCCCGTCGGCTGAATGCGCACGCGCGGCAAGAGCTGCGCGCGCATTCAGCCGGTCACATAGGAAAGCATTCATAATGCTTTCCTATGGACGCCGGCGTGCTCTCACTGTGAAAATCACAGTGAGAAGCACGCAAGCGCCTCTAGTGGCTGTCAATGAGACAGCCACTAGAGGAAATAGGGGAAGGCTTAACCAATTCATAAACATAGCAGTGTCTCTGAAACTGCTATGTTTATGAAAAAATGGGTTAATCCTAGCTGGACCTGGCACCCAGACCACTTCATTAAGCTGAAGTGGTCTGGGTGCCTAGAGTCCTTTAATCAGAAATAAATCCACAGATTTGAAGATAATTGATAATCTCTTTGTTTCTACTTATCCATGCAGTGCATCGGAGAGAACCTAAGTGGATTTCTGAACTAGAACGTATTCTGCAAGGAAAAGTAGGAAAAACTCCAAAAGCAAGAGTGGCTACGAAACGTGTTTGGATGTATCGTGTTAGTCATTACTACCTGTTAAGGTGCCCAAACTTTTGCACATCACATATTATTTATTAAGATCCAACATTTTCTGCAGATCTGTACAAAAGGTTCACAAGACACAGCTGTTCAGTACTAACTTACTGGAATAACAGATAGTGGGGGCCCTGCACACTAGCGTACAATCTAAAGGGAATGAATGAAACATTTATAGCTGAGAATGATTATATAATAGGCTAGTGACTGGCAGAATGGTAAATAGTCTCAGATTATACAGTGGGAGTGATATGGACTACAGTGGATGTAGGAGTATAGTGTGTGCAGGGGGTAATAGAGGCTGCAGTGAGCACAGGAGCAATAGATTGTGTGCAATGGAAAATAGTAAAAACAAAGAGAACGTTACCTGAGCTCTGGCCTAAATCCCTATTGTGACGGACCGCCTGGCACCCAAACTGGGTGCCTCCGCCAATCGATGCTCGTAGTGCTTACTGAGTACTTCAAGCACCTCACCAGACAACATCAGCACTGTAGTCCCCGCTTCCAGCGTTACAGCTTGGTTGGTGTCTCATTGTCTCCAAGCCCAGGATCCACCTTCCAGTGGGTAGACCTGAGTCATGGACTGTACTAACTCAATTATCTCCATGCAGAAAAATATTTTTACAAACCCTGAAAATACCTCTAAAACACGTGAAAACCTCAGTATAATCGTATCTCCTGATAGCCCTGATCTGGGGGACCATCATATCTAAACATCACCCAGATTGGTTCAGGGGTTCATGATTTCCATGTAAGTCCCAGTTTGACCGATGGCACGCATGGTAACATGCCCAAAACAGTTCCAGAGAATCAGGGCTTGTGGTCCGTCTAGTTCGGTAGTTCACAATATAACAGAAATATGAATGTAACCAGTTCGTATGTATACTTAGTCTGTGTCTCTTGTTTGGGAGTGTGTTTCCGCGGAACGCCGCTCTTCTCAAGTGAATCCAGTTGAATGAACGAAGAGATGGAAGTGCCGGCGGTGTTTGCGCCATCGAGTGTCCGATTATAGTTCCATGCACTCGACGACCAAACACCGCTGTATGTATTCGCGGCTAAAGATGGCCGCTGCCACGTGTTTGCACATACGAACGAAGGCCACCCAGCCAACCACTTGCGGTTAGCGAGGTCAAGAAGGGCAATAAGCACACAACGGTTCTGGGTGGTCGGTCCGTTCGACTTCATTTGGCATACGAACAGCATTAGTCTAATCTGTTCAGTAAGCCCTATATACTGAACCATAGAGGGGAAAAGGCACAAACAAAGCCAAAATATTAGGATTGAAGTGGGTGCAGAGGGTAACAGAGGCTGTATTGGATAGAGGGGATATTAGGATTTTAGTGGGTGCAGAGGGTAACAGAGGCTGTATTGGATAGAGGGGATATTAGGATTTTAGTGGTTGCAGATGAGGAACACAGGTTTTAAGGAAAACAGAGGAGGTATAGAGGCTTTTGTGGGTGCATTGGGTATAGGGGCTGTAGTGGGTGCATTGGGTATAGGGGCTGTAGTGGATGCATTGGGTATAGGGGCTGTAGTGGGTGCAGTGGGTATAGGGGCTGTAGTGGGTGCATTGGGTATAGGGGCTGTAGTGGGTGCATTGGGTATAGGGGCTGTAGTGGGTACATTTGGTACAGAGGCTGTAGTGGGTGCAGTGGGTACAGGGGCTGTAGTGGGTGCATTGGGTACAGGGGCTGTAGTGGGTGCATTGGGTATAGGGGCTGTAGTGGATGCATTGGGTACAGGGGCTGTAGTGGGTGCAGTGGGTACAGGGGCTGTAGTGGGTGCAGTGGGTATATGGGCTGTAGTGGGTGCATTGGGTACAGGGGCTGTAGTGGGTGCAGTGGGTACAGGGGCTGTAGTGGGTGCATTGGGTATAGGGGCTGTAGTGGGTGCAGTGGGTATAGGGGCTGTAGTGGGTGCATTGGGTATAGGGGCTGTAGTGGGTGCATTGGGTACAGGGGCTGTAGTAGGTGCAGTGGGTACAGGGGCTGTAGTGGGTGCACTGGGTACAGGGGCTGTAGTGGGTGCATTGGGTACAGGGGCTGTAGTGGGTGCAGTGGGTACAGCGGCTGTAGTGGGTGCAGTGGGTATATCGGCTGTAGTGGGTGCATTGGGTACAGGGGCTGTACTGGGTGCAGTGGGTACAGGGGCTGTAGTGGGTGCATTGGGTATAGGGGCTGTAGTGGGTGCAGTGGGTATAGGGGCTGTAGTGGGTGCAGTGGGTACAGGGGCTGTAGTGGGTGCATTGGGTATAGGGGCTGTAGTGGGTGCGTGGGTATAGGGGCTGTAGGTAGGTGCAGTAAGGGGGGCTGTAGTGGGTGCAGTGGGTATAGGGGCTGTAGTGGGTGCATTGGGTACAGGGGCTGTAGTGGGTGCATTGGGGGGCTGCTGGTACAGGGGCTGTAGTGGGTGCATTGGGTACAGGGGCTGTAGTGGGTGCATTTTGGGGGGCTGTAGTGGGACATGGGTACAGGGGCTGTAGTGGGTGCAGTGGGTACAGGGGCTGTAGTGGGTGCATTTGGTATAGGGGCTGTAGTGGGTGCATTGGGTACAGGGGCTGTAGTGGGTGCATTGGGTATAGGGGCTGTAGTGGGTTCATTGGGTACAGGGGCTGTAGTGGGTGCATTCGGTACAGGGGCTGTAGTGGGTGCATTGGGTACAGGGGCTGTAGTGGGTGCATTGGGTACAAGGGCTGTAGTGGGTGCAATGGGTATAGGGGCTGTAGTGGGTGCAGCGATTAGGGACTGTAGCTGTTAATATGGGAAGGTGAGGGGTTGGTGTGGGTTCAAATCATTTTGCGACTGGAAAAGTCATAAGTTGTATTTCCAGTTGAATTTGGGGAAACCATTTGAAGCGTTCGTTGTGTCGAGCTATTTCATAGTTACATAGTTACATAGCTGAAAAGAGACTTGCGTCCATCAAGTTCAGCCTACCTCACATTTGTTTTTTGCTGTTGATCCAAAAGAAGGCAAAAAAACCCAGTTTGAAGCACAATTTTGCAACAAGCTAGGAAAAAAATTCCTTCTTGACCCCAGAATGGCAGTCAGATTTATCCTTGGATCAAGCAGTTATTACCCTACATTAAAAGATTATATCCTTGAATATTCTGTTCTTGCAAGTATGCATCTAGTAGCCGTTTGAACATCTGTATGGACTCTGATAAAACCACTTCCTCAGGTAGAGAATTCCACATCCTGATTGTTCTTACAGTAAAAAAACCTTTCCTTTGCCTTAGGCGAAATCTTCTTTCTTCCAGTCTAAACGCATGGCCTCGTGTCCTATGTAAAGTCCGGTTTGTGAATAGATTTCCACATAATGGTTTGTATTGGCCCCGAATATATTTGTATAATGTTATCATATCCCCTCTCAGGCGACGTTTTTCTAAACTAAATAGGTTTAAATTTGTTAACCTTTCTTCATAGCCGATATGTTCCATTCCTTTTATTAATTTTGTAGCCCGCCTCTGCACTTTTTCTAGTGCCATAATATCCTTCTTTAGAACAGGTGCCCAAAATTGCACAGCATATTCAATATGGGGTCTTACCAGTGATTTATAAAGAGGCAAAATTATATTCTTGTCCCGAGAATGAATGCCCTTTTTCATGCATGACAATACCTTACTGGCCTTGGCCACTGCTGATTGACATTGCACATTGTTGCATAGTTTGTTGTCTATAACAATTCCCAAGTCCTTTTCATGTGTTGTTATCCCTAATTCGCTTCCATTAAGGGTATACGTTGCTTGTGTATTCTTTACGCCGAAGTGCATAACTTTGCATTTTTCAACATTAAATTTCATCTGCCATTTGAGTGCCCAGTCCCCCAGTCTATCTAAATCCCTCTGCAGCAAAGTAATATCTTGCTCACATTGTATTGTTTTACAAAGTTTTGTGTCATCTGCAAACACTGAAACATGACTTTCAATGCGGTCTTCAAGATCATTTATAAACATGTTAAATAGAAGGGGTCCCAGCACAGACCCCTGAGGGACACCACTTGCCACCTCTGTTCAGCTTGAAAATTTACCATTATTTACAACTCTTTGTACTCTGTTTTTAAGCCAATGTTCTACCCAAGAACAAGCATTTTCATCTAGACCGATTTCCTTGAGTTTGAACACTAATCTATTGTGTGGAACTGTATCAAATGCCTTGGCAAAATCCAAAAAGATCACATCCACGGCAACACCTGATCTATACTTCTACTTACTTCTTCGTAGAACGCAATCAAGTTAGTTTGACATGACCTGTGCTTCATAAAACCATGCTGATTTTTGCTGATAACCATGTTCTTCTCAAGGAATTCTTGAATATTATCCCTTAATAACCTTTCAAATATTTTACCAGCCACAGAAGTTAAGCTCACAGGTCTATATTTCAATTGCTTTGTTTGATTTGTTCATTGCAAACAACTGAAAGTCTGAATAGTTTGATAATAAACCTCATTTTCCATGTGGGTTGAATCATTTTTACTCCAACTGTAGGTAGGTTTATCAGAGTAACATAGCATAGCTCAAAGGACCACTATAGTGCCAGGAAAACATACTCGTTTTCCTGGCACTATAGTGCCCTGAGGGTGCCCACACCCTCAGGGACCCCCTCCCGCCCGGCTCTGGAAGGGGGAAAGGGTTAAAAACGTACCTTTTTCCAGCGCTGGGCGGAGAGCTCTCCTCCTTCTCTCCTCCTCCGATCCTCCTCCTGGACTGAATGCGCACGCGCGGCAAGAGCTGTGCGCGCATTCAGCCCGTCGCATAGGAAAGCATTTTCAATGCTTTCCTATGGACGCTGGCGTGCTCTCACTGTGAAAATCACAGTGAGAAGCACGCAAGCGCCTCTAGTGGCTGTCAATGAGACAGCCACTAGAGGATTAGGGGGAAGGCTTAACTGCTATGTTTATAAAAAAATGGGTTAACCCTAGAAGGACCTGGCACCCAGACCACTTCATTAAGCTGAAGTGGTCTGGGTGCCTAGAGTGGTCCTTTAATTACTGCATAATGGTAATAAACCAGGGTTCTGCATCAGTAAGTATTTTAAGTGTGTGTAGCAGCAGCACTATTGAGTGCCGACTTCCTATAGTGTGTGTATATGGATATGTTTGCTAATGTGAGTAGGGCCATGTATGTTGTATGATTGTGATAAAATCCAGTTAACTAATTGGGCATGATTGATTGATCACTAATGAGCAAATTAATCTATTTTAGATAGTTAAGATGGCACTTGGTTTAAACTGTGTCGCACTAAGGTAATTCAACTAAGATAACGTTGCATAGAATATTCCATAGCATGTCTGGCCAATATCCAAAAAGGCCCACGTGCTGAAAAGAGGGATTTGGTGCCAACAATGTGTAGAAACATAAGAGTAGGGACATAGATAGAATAAGATACCGCACGTGTCTGGCATGAGCCTTGGGTGGTCACGACTGACCAGATCAACCATACTGATTACTTAATGCGAATGACAAGATACATGCTGGGCTGCACTGATAAGAAATCTTGGAAAAGTTACAAACTTGGTAAAAGGTATAAAAGACAGAGAAACTTGGCACTCACTTGGAGAACTACCCACCTGTAATGCGGACGCGTGTTGCTGGTCTCTGCTGTTCCCATAGAGGGTCCCTCCAAGCCTGACTGCCGGTTCCACCAGTCACGTGCAGAGGACACAAGCCCCTCTAATGGTGATGTATACTTAAGCTGATATATCTAGATACTAAGCTGTTTTGAAGTGAATGCATGCAACTACTTAAGGAGAGTTAAGCTTACTCTGTATTGGGTCCCCTTGTGGACAATAAAGTGTGGTGTGAATTCTTATCTGCAACTTGGTCTCTGTGTGGTTTCTTTTTCCTATTGCCCAAGATACTCATCCCGAACTGGGTTGTGTGCCCGCCAATATCGCCATAAACCTTATTAGGTAATTATTACTTTTTGGATATTGATGCTTCATGAATTTAATGATTAGGCACAACAATGATTTATCATATGATCGTGGGCTGAACGTAGGCCAGGATTAAAGGAAAAGACTAAGAGGTCGACTCAGTGTCCCAACAGATTATGACTCTGTGGATGAAGGCCAACTAAGGGTATGATATTTGATAGATTGCGAAATGGCCAAATGAGTGCCGAATGTATGCACAAATAAACATGCTGTTTGGCTGATATTTTTGCCAATTTCTTACTTACCAACATTGAGGCTTAACAATGACAAGTGTGCTGATGGCTATACCTAAAGAGGTTGACTGGCCCAGGTAAGTGGGTTGACTGATTTTAAATACGCCGGGTAATCCCTCCCACAATTACGGGGCACAGCCTTAACATATACAGTGAGGGGGAAAGTATTTGATCCCCTGCTGATTTTGAACGTTTGTCCTCTGACAAAGAAATGATCCGTCTATAATTTTAATGGTAGGTGTATTTTAACAGTGAGAGAGAGAATAACAAAACGAAAAAAATCCAGACAACCCATGTGAAAAAAGTTGATTTGCATGCCGAGTGAAACAAGTATTTGATCCCCTATCAATCAGCAAGCTTTCTGGCTCCCAGGTGTATTTTATACAGGTAACGAGCTAAGATTAGGAGCACTCTCTTAAATGGAGTGCTCTTAATCTCAGCTCGTTACTTGTATAAAAGGCACCTATCCACAGAAGCAATCAATCAGATTCCAAACTCTCCACCATTGCCAAGACCAAAGAGCTGTCTAAGGATGTCAGGGACACGATTGTAGACCTTCACAAGGCTGGAATGGGCTACAAGACCATTGCCAAGCAGCTTGGTGAGAAGGTGACAGCAGTTGGTGCGATTATTTGCAAATGGAAGAAACACAAAATAACTGTCATTCTCCCTCGGTCTGGTGCTCCATGCAAGATCTCACCTCATGGAGTTTCAATTATCACGAGAACGGTGAGGAATTAACCCAAAATTACACAGGAGGATCTTGTTAAGTCACCAAGAAAACAATTGGAATACACTATGCCGTGAAGGACTGAAATCCTGTAGTGCCCGCAAGGTCCCCCTGCTCAAGGAAGCACATTTACAGGCCAGTCTGAAGTTTTCCAGTGCACATCTGAAGGATTCAGAGGAAAACTGGGTGAAAGTGTAGTGGCCAGATGAGACCAAACTTTTGCTGTTTGGCATCAACTCAACTTGCCGTGTTTGGTGGAAGGGGAATGCTGCCTCTGACCCCAGGAACACCATCCCCACCATCAAACATGGATGTGGAAACATTATTCTTTACTGGTATTTTTCTGCTAAGGGGACAAGATAATGGCACTGCATCAAAGGAACGATAGACAGGGCCATGTATCGTCACATCTTGGGTGAGAACCTCCTTCTCTCAGCCAGGGCATTGAAAATGGGCCATGAATGGGTATGCTCAGAAAGGGCAGGTGATTCACCGGCTAATCGGGAGAAAGGGCGCTAAACAATTTGAATGGTAGCCATTCTCCTATTGGCCGGCATGGACTTCCAGGCAGCCAGATGAACTCTGTGGCTGTGAGGCAGACTCATAGTCCAAGGGTTTCTCTGCTTGGCTCACCTCTCTCTCTCCTGTGGATATCTCCACGCAGGTAGCACCGGAGAGAGCGCTCTTTGGGCAGCCACTATCCCGGATAGTGAATTGGCACTTTTAGGAGTAGGTAGGGCGATTCGCTACCCCCTAAGTTTTATTGTTTCAGATTTGTATATTGAGATATATTGCTTATAAACTGAACTACTAGTAAGTTTGAATTACCTTAAGCATTCCATAATCACATCAGTGGTGGTTTATATATATTCTTCACTTTTGTGTAAATTTCTTTCATATACAACTTTATAGGGGAGAGAGTCCCTATATCTATGTGGTAGCTGCTGTAATATCATTATTTGTATCCAATTATTTTTAAAGCGCTCATCTTTGCACACATATATTCATTAATACTCCATCTCCCCTGGATCTCACTGCGCTGCTGGGGAGAGAGACCAACTGTCTTCACTCTCACGGACTCACTCTGCTACTGGGGAACGAGACCGGTTGTCTCTGTTCCCAGGCCCTCACACTGCCGCTGGGGAACGAGACCAGTTGTCTCTGTTCCCTGGACCTCACACTGCCTCCATTCCCTGTCTACATTCCCTGGACCTTACACTGCCGCTGGGGAACGAGATCGAGTGTCTCCGTTTCCTGGACCTTACACTGCCACTGGGGAGGAAGGATGGAACACTTCTCTCCCTCAACCTCATACTGTCGCTGGGGAACGAGATTGGTTGTCTCCTTTCCCTCAACCTCACACTCCCACCGGGGAGGAAGGACGGAACGCTTGTCTCCCTGGACCTCACACTGCCGCTGGGGAATGAGACCGGATGTCTCCGTTCCCTGTAACTCACACTGCCGTTAGGAAGGAAAGAAAACTTCTCCCCATGGACCTCACACTGCCGCTGGGGAACAAGATCAGTTGTGTCCGTTCCCTGGACCTCACACTGCCACTGGGAGGAAGAACAGAACACTTCTCTCCTTAGACCTCACACTGCCACTGGGGAATGAGACCGGTTGTCTCCACTCCCTGGACCTCACATTGCCAATGAAGAGAAAGAATGGAACACTTCTCTCCCGGCACCTCACACTGCCGCTGGGGAACGAGACCGGTTGTCTCCGTTCCCTGTAACTCACACTGCCGCCAGGGAGGAAGGTGTGGTAGAACCACTGCTTGTTCGTGGATTTCCTTTTTCGATTATGTGTGTTTTCCTGTATTTACGCTTATTGTGCCCGCTCCCCATTTGGGAGTACTTCCACAAAAGGAATCCATTCGTCTCCTGAACGTGGACCACCCTGGTATCCCATTTAGAACGCTATTAAGAATGTTCAATCAGAGGTGTGAAACCGCAAAGGAAACAATAAATGCTCCCCTGGGTGGCCGCCATTTCGTACTGACGAACGCAAGCCAAGGGGAGCGTTCGTGGATTGTTTCCCGACTCGTTCATCTTCTGAACGAGGACCTCCCTGATGCCCCATTAGAACGTTCACACCTATTAATCAAAACGTCCGCACATGCAACATAAGTGTGAAACCGCAAGGGAAGTATTTAATGAGTGCTCCCCCGGGTGGCCGCCCTTTGGATAGACGAACACCAACCAGGGAACACCCGCCAGGGGGAGCATTTTTTTTTCTGAAAGGAGACACTTCCCTTGCAGGGTTTTACACAGGGACCTAGCTACTACAGGATTTGTTGGAAGCCAGAGGGCAATCGGCCAGCAATTGTACCAAGGCTGACCTGATTGCCACCCTCATAGATCATGAAGGAATTTGACGGCGCTCTATAAATATCATAATAATAATAATAATGAAGCAGTGAGACCGCTGTACCCCAGCCGCAGGACAAAGAAACTGCCTGGTGTCTGGCGTACCAAAGAGAAACCCCCTCAGAAGAAACCCTGACCAGGCTCTTCTCAGAGGCACAAGCCTATATCTTGGCTCAGAGAAACAGTGAAATGGGGCGAACCCCGCACCATCCAACAAATGATGTTCGGGAGAGATGTCCCCGGGGAGGTCGGCAAACCCAGATACATGAGGGCCCCAATGCCCTGCTACCTCTCACAGCTATTCCACAACCTACTACCCATTCCACAACCTACCCCCACTACAACAGCTCGGTTCCTCGGCTCTAAAACCACCCCAGCGGGCACCGACCTGGGCAGACCAACGATGCTTTCAGTGCTCCTAGCCCGGTCACATAAAGAGGAATTACCCCCAGTTCAGGGAGTGACCTCAGTGGGTTCGCCCCGTGGCCCCTCCTGCTCCACGAGCAGCAGCCCTCTGTTACCAGGCTGCCCCCATGTACACTCCGACCCACAACGAAGAAGCATGGCCAATCCTGCATGAGGTGGACCCCATCCAAGCCACCTCCGACAACCGAGACCACCAGAGACAGCCGGTCCGGCTGAACGGGCGCATCGTACAGGGTTATGAGCCACCGGAACCACACTGACTCTAGTTCAACACCGGCTCATTACAGAGGCGGAGAAGACCGGGGGGACGGAGGAACCGTCTACCCACTGCCCACGTTTACATCGACTGGGGCACTGGAGACAAGAGAGTTGGGAATATATTCCCCATGCACTATTATAACGGATCACCTGGCACCCCGACTGGGTACCTCTGTTAAAGGATGCTCCAAGCATTTCCTGAGGACTCCAAGCACTCTGGCAGACACGACAATCACTGAACCGGAAAAGCATATGAGTACTTTTAAGCATATGAATGTTGTATACAGCCAAATAGGAAAAAACCATAGGTTTACACTCCTAGCAGTCAAACTGGAACAGCATACAATAAATCCTCCCCAATAATGAAACGACACTTCACCTTGAGGGTTAAGCAGGAACTCCACTGTAATGGCCACACACTGGCTTTTATGCAAGTCCCCATGCAAGGGGACATCCCACAGGGTGGGACACAGTACAACCAATCATTTACAGGAGAACCGTAAAACACACCCAGCCCCAACATACAATCCCTTCCCTCTGCCTGTGATATAATTACTGAACACAATGGGTTAATGTAATTTATCACAGGCAGGAAAAATACACTTTTTATACATACACTGTAACTTTATTCATATTCACATAAAACATACATATTCAGAATCAGCATACTTTAAATATAAACATAACCAAAATTCAGCCAATTCCATGCAGGGGTTAAAAAGTTAAGGGAAAGTCCTATTCTACCAAATGAAGCATGGCTTTTCTGCCCAAAACCAGTTCCACAGAGTCTTCTATCATGGAGATAATTGGGAAGTAATCCAATTATCTCCAAG